GAATAATTGTGTGAATGTAAGGGGTTGGAGAAAAAAAAAATGGTTGAATGTGGGAAAATGTAAACTATATTTTGTGTTAAAGGATTTTTTTAACTGGTTTAAGTTGAAATGGGTTAGAGGATAAGGTATTTAAGTTTTATGTAGATTTTGTTTTTTTTTTTTTTTTTTTTTTTTTGACATATGACACTGTTTAGAAGTAAAACAATGTAATAACAAATGTTTGCAACACTTGTCGCAAAGATATTACAAACAAATCCTTTGAAAAGAGAATTTACAAAAAAATAAAAATATAAAAAGTGAATTCTTCGAAATTTTTCTGTAATAAGATTATTTGTTAAAGAAAATTTTTAAAAAATTTTATTGCAACGAACATATTTTATAAAGAGAAGATTTTTCGTAATTAAAAATCAATCCGAATAAACTTTCTATAGAAATTTAACGAAAATTTTCTATAAAAACTAAGATTCTTTAAGTTTATCAAGGTGAATCGATTACTTAAAATAGAGTTTTAAACGATTAATCGAATAAAATTAATCGATTATTAAAATATTTTTTATTAAATGTTTGAATTTTTGTAAAATTAAATGGCTTCAAGAATTTTTCAAAAAAAATTATTCGAATACTTTTATCAGTTAATCATAATCGATTACAAAAAAATGAAATAAATAGTTCGACAAAATCATAATTTATTAACAAAAACTACATTTTTAAGCAATTAATCGAATATTCGTCAAAATTTACAATTAAATACATTTTTTGCAAATTTTTTTTTTTCAATTGTCGAATAATTTTGATCTATTAATCGATTAAATTTACCATGAAATAATGTTTTTTTTTTTGTGCAAAAATTTTAGTCGATTAATCGAATTATTTTATTCAAATTACGGTATTATATTAATTGATATTTTTGAAATAGTTAATCGAATAATTTTAATCGATTAATAACAAAAATTTTCCATGAAATAAATTCTTCTTTAAAATCGCAATTTATGAACAAAACCAAAAACTATTATCACAATTTTTGTCATATTTGACAAAATTTATAAGAAATTTTTTCAATCGATTCGTCTTGGAAACTTTTTTTACCAAAATTATAATTTTAAATTTCAAACATTTAATGGAGTTTTTCACCAAAAATGTTTGGCAAAACTTATATTTTGTATCAAAGATTAAGATAATAGATTAATCAATTATTAATCGATATTTTCAAACATTTTAATCGACTAATCGAATAATTTTAATCGACTAATCGAATAATTTTAATCGATTATTCGAATAATTTTAATCGATTAAATTGCAATGAAAAAAATTGCTCCACAAAATCGTAATTTAAAAACAAAAACTAAATTTGTGGCACAATAATTAAATAATTTTAACCGATTAATCGAAAAGCTTTAATAAAATCATTCGAAAATTTGTTCAATAAATTAATTTTACACTCAAAGTTACAATTTAGTAAATTGCGGACTCTTTCAGCCTTAGAATTTATTGTTATAAGAATCCTAATGAACTTAGTAAGGATGGGTTGAGTGCTGTTGCGTTTTTCGGTCCTCTATTTAAGTGATCAGAAACGTTTATTCTTTTTCTTTGTTAAATTTCTGAACTTAGTAAGGATGGGTTGGATGCTGTTGAGTTTTTCGGTCCTCTATTTAAGTGATCAGAAACTTTTTCTTTGTTAAAGTTCTAACAATTCATGTTAATATGTAAATATTTGCTTCTAACGTTTTTGGTTTTTTTTGTTCTCACAATTATATCAAATTTCGCTCTAATATTATTTACATGTTTAACAACCATAAAATATGTATGAAAAATAAATATTGAGACAAAATAAAGGAAAGAAATTAAAAAAAACTAACAAGCAAACTGAAATATGCAACTTTAAATAAAAAGCCGCCTCATATTAAAACAGCATATAAATAATTCAATTTACTGTCTTGTATCGTAAACAACATATTAACAGTGAACAGCTATAAAAAAATAGTATAATCGAGAAACAGTGAAACAAAAATGAAAATACTTAAAATAAAATTAAAATTCCTTATTTTAAAAAAATACATATGTTAAACGCAACAAAAACTTTTATTTATCATAATATGTAGTTTTAATTTTTTCTAATCTGCTTCCCACTGTGCATTATATGATTACAGACAAAAAACGGCATGTGTAAAACCACTATATATGAATGGAATGAAAAAAAAAATACAAAATTACATACTAAAGACTTCATTCAATGCGCTGCACTGCATTACATACACACTGCCGCGAATACTTTTCAATCGTTCACATTCATACTTATGTGTATAAAGGTCTGTCTCTCTCTCTGTCTCTAACTATATCTTTCCAAGACGTAGAACAAGTTGCATTTTTAAACGCATAATAATTGATCAATTTACTAGTTGACAAGTGTGCTTTGGCGCTGCTTTATAAATGATTTTTTTCTTTATTATTTTTCTGCTTAAAGAAAAAAATTATAATGTAGAAATAAATATAAATGTACCGGGAAGAGTAGGGGAGATAAACTAAAAGACCCAATAGGAATAGATTTAAAAATCAATCACTTTAATAGAAAACATAAGATATTTGGTACAAACAAAGTCTTAAAGGAACTTTAATAATATAAGGGTTAAAATAAAACTTTTTGAAAGTTCCCCCGTTTCCTACCGACACATTTAGCACCATAGAAAATAATATGTTATATACATACACATATATTCATAGTCATATTAACAATATATAAAAGTAAATAACTTTATTATTTTTATCTATGTTTAGCACATTAAATTCAAATACACTAGACTCAAATAAAACCTATGAAACAAATTTAAAAAAATTTTCTACTAAAACAGACGCAATGGAATGACATTGTGAATTTGCTGGGGTCCGCTGCTATTACTATTGTTGCTGTTACACATAAAAATACAAGCGCATAGACAGGCCCTGACTGTAATGATTAAGAGCTATTGGGGATTTATAAGAAGAAAATTTATTGAAAATTTTTTATAAAAATAATTATAGAAAAGAAAAAATATCTTAGATTTTTTATAAAAAAAACATTTGCTTAAAATTTCCTATAAAAAGAAAACTTACCGAAACCTTCTTCAAAAAGATATATTTCATAACAAGAGAATTTATCCAACTTTTTTTTATAAAATGAAATGAGAACTGATCGATGATAACGGTTTTTATAGAAAAGTGAACGATGATAAAGTTTTCTACAGAAAACTGTACGAACTTAAAGTTTTTTTTTTATAAAAAACAATCGATGAAACTCGATCGATATTAAAGTTTTCTATAGAAACTTGATCGATGTTAAAGTTTTCTATAGAAAGTTGATCTATGATAAAGTTTTCTAAAGAAAACTGATCGATGATAAAGTTTTCTATAGAAATTTCATCGATGTTAATGTTTTCTATAGAAACTTGTCGATGTTAAAGTTTTCTATAGAAACTTTATCGATGTTAAATTTTACTGAAGAAAACTGATCGATGATAATAATTTCTATAGAAAGTTGATCGATGATAAAGTTTTCTATAGGAAACTGATCGATGATAAAGTTTTCTATCGAAAACTGATCGATGATAAAGTTTTCAATAGGAAACAGATTTATGATAAAGTTTTCTAAAGAAAACTGAACTATGATAAAGTTTTCCATAGAAAACTGATCGTTGATAAAGTTTTCTATCGAAATCTGATCGACGATAAAGTTTTCTATCGAAAACTGATCGGCATTAATGTTTTCTATAAAAGATAACAGACGTTGAAGTTTTCAATAGAAAACTGATTAATGTTTCTATAGAAAACTGATCGATGATAACGTTTCCTATAGAAAACTGATCGATGATAACGTTTTCTATAGAAAACTGATGGGCGATAATGTTTTTTATAAAAGATAACCGACGTTGAAGTTTTCCATAGAAAACTGATTAATGTTTCAATAGAAAACTGATAGATGTAAAAGTTTTTTGTAGAAAACCGATCGATGTTAAAGTTTTCTATAGGAAACGATGTAAAAAAAAAAATGTATAGGAAACGATGTAAAAGTTTTGTATAGAAAACTGATCGATGTTAATTTTTTCTTTAGAAAACTGATCGATGAAAAAGTTTTCTATAGAAAACTGATCGATGATAAAGTTTTCTTTAGAAAACTGATCGATGAAACAGATCGGCGATAATGTTTTCTAGAAAAGATAACCGACGTTGAAGTTTTCTATAGAAAACTGATTAATGTTTCTATAGAAAACTGATCGATGTTAAAGTTTTCTATAGAAAACTGACCGACGATAAAGATTTCTATAGAAAACTGATCGACTATAAAGTTAACTATAGAGAACTGATCGACTATAAAGTTAACTATAGGAAACTGATCGACCATAAAGTTTTGTATGGGAAACTCATCGACGATAAAGTTTTCTATAAAAAACTATTCGATGTTAAAGTTTCCTATGGCAAACTGATCAATGTGAATCGAATTCGAATTCTGCTTAAATCCCAGATTTTTCTTTTAATATATGGTTAATATGGAAACCCTTACATATTTACAACAATTCTATGTCCATTTTAGATCTACAGAAAAAAACCAACACAGACGGCTTTACGAGAATTTTACGCTTAATTTAACAAGAATTGCTTTGAAGCTGTCATAATTTCAATTGACAAACACGATTTAAAAAAAAAATCAACAGCAGCATGATAAACACAATCATTGCAACTATACACTAGCAACCAAGTAAAAATAGACAATAACTAACTGCAAAAAAATCAACAATTTTTTTGTAGACGTTCTATAAAATTGTAAAGAAAAAACAACACACAATAGTATAACAAAAATTGACCTTGTCATCAACATCATTATGTGACGCCAGTTAAAAGTGACAAAGTGTTAATATGACAAGTTATTTTTTTTTAGTTTTTGTTTTTCACATACACAATTCTATTAACAACAAAAACAAACACAAATACATATAGTGAAAAATGTGACAAAAAAAATAGGGAAAACTTACCTTATGGGCTCTGATGGGAGCGCCCTCTGAACAAGCTAATGTGACGTCCACCAGACTCTCGTCCTGTAGTAATTGACTAAACACCCCTAACAGGTTGGATTGATGATTGTTCCACCTCAAGCAGTAGTGCTCACTGCCCATGTCGGTGACAGCTTACGCTGCTGAAAATTTATAAAAAAAAGCAAAAAATTAGAAAATATTTTTATTATTTTATTAAATCTTAAGATATGTATTCTAATTTCGGTTAAGATCGCTATAAATCTTTTTAAATGTATAATAAAAATCACGGAAATTGTAATTTAATATGTTTTCTAAAAATTATTTTGTTTTTTCCACTTCTTAATACCTGCTCCTCTCTCTCTCTCTATCACTCTCCTAGACCGAACATATTGCAAGCATACATATGCAGTTTTAATGCAGGCATATTAGTTTATATTAAATATGCATACGTAATTTGAAATACAACTTTTTTTTCTTTTGCGCACGCGCGTGTTCGATGTCATGTGGTGTTTACACGTTTTTGGTGTATGGAGTGTTAAACGAAATAAAAAAAATTCATACAAAAATCTTTTATGCCATATAGTTTTTCCACATAAGTTTTGTTTAATTTGTATTTAAGTTGTGGTAGTACTTATTGTATGGACAGACAGGCGGACAGACGGACATATATACCAACATACTTGTATAAAAATATCACTCGTTTATACATTTTGAATTTTATTTAAATGCTTGTTACGTTTTGCATTACATTGCAATTTAATTGCATTTAAATGTCTAGTAATTGATATGCAAACATAAAATACACATTCAAATAAATTCATACAATAATTTTCATTTACAGAGTTTTTTTCTTCAAGACATATTAACTTACACATACATTTATGGTTACAAACATTAATCATACAGAAATGTTAGCAATTTTAAGCAGAATTTTTTTAACTAATTTTCTTAATGGAATAATATCGATGTTAAAGTTATCTATAGGAAATTGGTTGTTGACTAAGTCTTGTAGAGAAAACCAATCAATGTGGCAGTTTTGTTTAAGGATATAGATCGATGTTAAAGTTTTATAGAGAAAACAGATCGATGTTAAAGTTTTCTATAGAAAACTGATCGATGTTATAGTTTCTGTAAAAAAATGTTCGATCTTAATATTTTTTATAAAAAACTTTGTTCTATAGAAAACTGATCGTTTTATAAGCTTTCTACAGAAAACTGATCGCTATTAAACATTTCTGCAGAAAACTAAACGTTGTTAAAAGTTTTTTAAAAAAAATAGATCGAAGTTCAAATTTTCTATAAAAAACTGATCGACGTTAAAATTTTCCATAGAAAATTGATCGATTTTGATGTTTTCTAAAGAGTACTGAACGATGTTTTCTATAGAAAACAGATTGCTATTAAAGTTTTTATAGAAAACTGATCGAGGTTAAAGTGATCGGTGTTAAAGTTTTCTATAGATCAGTTTTCTATAGAAAACTTTAACATTGATCAGTTTTCTATAGAAAACTGATCGATATTAAAGTTTTTTATAGAAAACTGATCGATATTAAAGTTTTCTATAGAAAACTGATCGAGGTTAAAGTTTTCTATGGAAAACTGATAGAAGTTGAAGTTTTCTATAGAAAACTGATCGATGTTTAAGTTTTCTATAGAAAACTGATCGATTTTTAAGTTTTCAATAGAAAACTGATCGATGTTTAAGTTTACTATAGAAAACTGATCGATGTTTAAGTTTTCTATAGAAAACTGATCGATGTTGAAATTTTCTATAGAAAACTGATCGATGTTGAAATTTTCTATAGAAAACTGATCGATGTTGAAATTTTCTATAGAAAACTGATTGATGTTATAGTTTTCTATAGAAAACTGATCGATGTTTAAGTTTTCTATAAAAAACTGATCGATGTTTAAGTTTTCTATAAAAAACTGATCGATGTTTAAGTTTTCAATAGAAAACTGATCGATGTTGAAATTTTCTATAGAAAACTGCTTGATGTTATAGTTTTCTATAGAAAACTGATCGATGTTTAAGTTTTCTATAGAAAATTTATCGATGTTTAAGCATTCTATAGAAAACTGATCGATGTTTAAGTTTTCTATAGAAAACTGATCGAAGTTTAAGTTTTCTATAGAAAACTGATCGATGTTTAAGTTTTCAATAGAAAATTGTTCGATGTTTAAGTGTTCTATAGAAAACTGAACCTGATCGATGTTTAAGTTTTTTATAGAAAACTGATCGATGTTTAAGCTTTCTATAGAAAACTGATCGATGTTTAAGTTTTCTATAGAAAACTGATCGAAGTTTAAGTTTTCTATAGAAAACTGATCGATGTTTAAGTTTTCAATAGAAAACTGTTCGATGTTTAAGTGTTCTATAGAAAACTGAACCTGATCGATGTTAAAGTTTTGTATAGAAAACTGATCGATGATAAGGTTTTTTATAGAAAACCGATCAATGTTAATGCTTTCTACAGAAAACTGATCGCTGTTAAAAAGTTTTCTGCAGAAAACTGATCGAAGTTGAATTTTGAATTAAAAACTTATTGATAACAAAGATTTCAATACAGAACTAATCGAAAACGAAAGCTTTTTAAAGAAAATTGATTTTATTATTATTATTATTTTTTTTTTTTTAATAACATAAAAAAAAAACTTTATTTAATGCCCCTAATAATTCTCATAAAATTCTCATAGGATTATCATCAGAAAGACCAAAAATCAAAAACAATGTCTTACTACCCACTCCAACATTGTTGTTAACATGGTCCCAAACATATGCATACCAAAAGACGTGTCGGTAATTTTAAGAGGATTTCAATTAAACTTGTGCTTTAACAAACAAACCCTGGAAAAATACAACAAACATATTTTTGCAAATTTGCAACAGGTAATTAATCAACATGTAATAGAAAAGATCATGGAATAATTGAAATTAAATTGAAACATACAAAACCTATAGAGAGAAAAACGTACAAGGATCGATTCTTCACACAACAGTTAACATCAGAGATCTAAGAAGTCATGAGAATTTCAATGAATTGTAAATTTAACTCAAACTTAAACTTGGAGTTTAATAACATGACCTCAGTGAAAGAGCATATGCCTTCTTCTATACGTTTGTATGTATTTACATAAAATTTATTACTCTGCTAGAATTTTTTTCAAAATTTTATTCCTCTCTATGTTCATGTTGCAAGTTGTAGGCTGTTTATGTACATAGCATGTATAAGTGTTTTGCAGGTTCGTTGGTATGTTGTTGACTAAATAATTGTGTTGCATTGCAATTTGATTCATTTTAATTATGCGTGTTGTAAAACAGAAAAGACGAAAAATAAACGGACATATTATAGACCAGATCTAGAAATGAAAGGCCACCATAAACAAATAAAATTGAGAGAAATAAAAAAGAAATAGTTGTGAATTTAAGTTTAAATAAAGGATGTTAAAAATAAGAGAGAAAAATAAAATAAATAAAAATATATATTACTAATTTTTACAGCCCCATTTATTGACGACTATTGTTAGAAGTGAATGGCTTTGGAATTTTGAGCACTGAGAGAAAATTGGTGAAATAAAATTAGATAAATAATTTTCTACTTATTTTGAAAATTGATCGGTAATTGTTCACAGAATTCATTTTCTGTAAAAATTTAAAACTGTTTATAGAAAACAGTTCAATATTAATATTTTTTATAGACAAAGTGATCGATGTTAAAGTTGTCTGTAGGAGACTGATCGATGATAAAGTTTTTTATAGAAAACACATTGATGATAAAGTTTTCTATAGAAAACTGATCGATGATAAATTGTTCTATAGAAAATTGATCGATGATAAAGTTTTCTATAGAAAACTGTTCAATGATAAAGTTTTCTATAGAAAACTGTTCAATGATAAAGTTTTCTATAGAAAACTGTTCAATGATAAAGTTTTCATATAGAAAACTGATCGATGATAAAGTTTTCTATAGAAAACAGATTGATGATAAAGTTTTCTATAGAAAACAGATTGATGATAAAGTTTTCTATAGAAACTGATCGATGATAAAGTTTTCTATAGAAAACAGATCGATGATAAAGTTTTCTATAGAAAACAGATCGATGATAAAGTTTTCTATAGAAAACAGATCGATGATAAAGTTTTCTATAGAAAACAGATCGACGATAAAGTTTTCTATAAAAAACTGATCGATGGTAAAGTTTTCTATAGATCGATGATAAAGTTTTCTTTAGAAAACTGATCGATGATAAAGTTTTCTTTAGAAAACTGATCGATGATAAAGTTTTCTACAGAAAACTGATCGATTATAAAGTATTCTACAGAAAACTGATCGATGATAAAGTTTTCTACAGACAGCTGATCGATGATAAAGTTTTCTACAGACAGCTGATCGATGATAAAGTTTTCTATAGACAACTGATCGATGATAAAGTTTTCTATAGACAACTGATCGATGATAAAGTTTTCTATAGATAGCTGATCGATGATAAAGTTTTCTTTAGAAATCGATCTGATCGATGATAAAGTTTTCTATAGACAACTGATCGATGATAAAGTTTTCTATAGAAAACTGATCGATGATAAAGTTTCCTTTAGAAAACTGATCGATGATAAAGTTTTCTATAGAAAACTGATCTATGATAAAGTTTTCTATAGAAAACTGATCGATGATAAAGTTTTCTATAGAAAACAGATTGATGATAAAGTTTTCTATAGAAAACTGATCGATAATAATGTTTTCTATAGAAAACTGATTGATGATAAAGTTTTCTACAGTCAGCTGATCGATGATTAAGTTTTCTACAGTCAGCTGATCGATGATGAAGTTTTCTACAGACAGCTGATCAATGATAAAGTTTTCTATAGACAACTGATCGATGATAAAGTTTTCTATAAAAAATTGATCGATGATAAAGTTGTCTATAGAAAACTGATCGATGATAAAGTTTTTTATAGAAAACTGATCAATGATAAAGTTTTCTATAGAAAACTGGTTGATGAAAAAATTTCCCATAAAAAGCTGAGCAGTGCTAAAAGTTTTCCTTAAAAAAATTCTTCCCGTGTGATTTGTGCAAAAAAGGAAAGACATACAACATGTTTAAGACCTACAAGTACAAGTAAATAAAAAACGAAATGAGAAATGAAAAATCACATACTGAG